CGTTGATCTCATTCACCTTATTCTGCTTCTAGTATTTGACCGATTCAACTTATGAATCATGATGTGAAAAGTACAAAAACAAAACTTGAGGAAGTGGAAGCGTAATCCAGCTGATTAAGATTCGCTCTGTTTTAAAAAACTGGGATTGTTTCTTAGTCTTTTGCTAACCAGTACTTGCATGTGTCATTTTTGACGTACGACTGTGCTTATGTGTCCCCGTTGACAGCAAGAATGGAAACTATCAATTGAAAGTTCGTATTTCTCAACGACATATTTAACGACGAGCGATTCTGTGATTTACACTCATGCTGATGATCAATTATGATATTTTGTACATTTGTAACAGAACACGCATTAAAATACAAACAATCAACAAGAACAAATGAAATATGACTGGAATAAGAACATCATGAAATAGGATTGGAGGAAAAAATGAATGGCATTTCGTGTCTTTTCTTATGAATCGAGTAGAAATTTGAGTTAGGTGCGACAGTGTGAACGATTCCAATATGCAAAAGAATCAACGAATTGATCCACAAATGTTTAGTGCAATGAACAACAGTTTATTTCCACTCAATTTTAACGCTCCGGATCACTGAATTAAGAATCGAATTTTCAACTCGTCGCTAAATCTTTCGTTGTGCTGTATTAGTTGGCCAACAATTCACGATTTGATGCGAAAAAATCCGTGAACAGAAAAAGATATGGCTTCGATCTTTTATTCGATTGAAAAGAGAAGCTGAAAAACTTTTTATAGTCGATCACTTTCGAGGTTGTTTCAGCTGCTATATAAAAGCAAGGTTTGTAAAGTCATAAATTTTTGTACAACTCATTATCACGCTGTAGAATTACCTAATTTAGACAGATTTATAACATCCGGTGAAATTTCCTGGAAAAATTCACCAGTTTATTGGGTTTCTTGTTGATATTTCTACAAATATGTGGGATCATTGGCCATCATCAACTTCACATTAACATCATTCAATGAATCCACTGAATCGGATAGTGTACGCAGTGCAATTGCAGTGCTTGTTTTTCGCGATATGGTAGTTTCTGCTCGGTCACTTGGCGGACTCACGGTTCTACACAACGATTCAATGGGCGGCTTAGATACAGAGACAATGGACGATCTGGACATATGATCGGACTGGAACACATATCCCAAAACGCCATCACCCATTCCAATGGAACCGCCGCCAGCGCATGGAGGCAACGAGCCGTTGACGTTCGGTGATAACTTCTGATAGTTGACATTCTGAAACTATTCCTGACTGTTATTGAGGATGCTTTTTGTTGTCATAGAGATTGAGGTTTACATCAGATCCGTATCAAATTTAACAAACTTCAAAGCTCAAAGCCATAGAAGTTTATAGAAATTTGATTCTATGAACTGAGTTTGATTCTATATCGAACTCAACTAAACAAATGTTATAGAAAGAAATTTTTTTTAGTTGGGTTCGAATCTCACAGCCGCTGTGTTCATTGAGTGATTTCTAGGGAAGTTGAATTATGAGTCGATATAATGCAAATGAGGGATTTAATCCGAAATTTTAAATTTCCATGTTTCTATGGGAATAGATTTCGACTATATGTCATGCATTTTCAAATTTTTCAGCTACATAAAACAGTGTATTTACAATGCTACTTTTTTGCTTCACACAGACACTATCCGGTAAAGTGTAACCATTAGTCATTGGTTTATGTACATTAATTTTAAAAAAATCCATAAATAATGGGAGAAACTTGTGCAGTTGCATGTTTTGCTAATTGCAAGCGGAGGACATAAAAGAGTTTCGATGGTTCGAAATTATCATGTCAGTCATCAATCTTCCACAAAAGGACGCCGAATTAAGAGCGCTTCATCCGTGAAATATCCAATGTTTGCTCGACAGTGGA